AAAGTGCATCAATATATGGTGTTTATGACGGTGAGAAGAATGGGGTAAGGGGTGGCAAGCAGAACTGTACAGAAGAAGAAACTGGCACAGTGGGAAAAAAAAGACAACAATTATTCACCCTGCACTGAAGGTAATGAAATATTGCATTCCAGTCATAATTGAGCAAAGTTAATAAAATTTTGCTTTCAGTGTGAATTGATCCTTGCTTAAAATCAGAGGATCAGATGAGTTTTCTTATCCTCCAGATAAGAAGTTGCAAAAGAATTACTAGATAGTTTAATATAGAATGCCTCTGATTAGAGGAAGAACGATCCATGTCCTTTATGTTTTACTGAAATATTTCTGTTGGTTTTAGTATTTCTTGGAAGTAAAGAGAGTATTTGATACATTTAAGTTCAAAGTGACATTATAATAGCTCATCTGAATTCTAGGGAGATATGTGCTAACCATTGATTTCACTCACAGTATTCATAGTACAGGTCCGTATGCCTATGTTTGACAAGAAAAATGTCTTCCTACTTAACAATAAGACATAATATAATACTTTTGATATTTTGTTGTGTATTTTTTGACCTCTGAAAATCATGCAGTCTGTTTTCTAGATGAGCAGATGTCCTGTACAAGTAGAACGAAACAAACAAGACGAATATATTTTGTTCAACTTTCTGTTGTAGAGCTTAAATTGTTTCATACCCAGAGCCAGAGGTGTTATTAAGATTTCCTATATCTTCCCTCTACTACACTACATAAAATGTATTCAATCCTCAGTTTTGCAAATATGTTAAAAAAAAAAATAAAAATGAACATCCAAACATGAATAAAGACATTTAAATCAAGAGTTAATTTTGTATCTCCTACTTATAGTGTAAAATTGTGGGGGGAGTAGAAAATGACTTATGAAATAATAATATCTCAATTTTAAAGTATTATTTTTAGACAATTTCTTGTTCCTTGGTTAGGAAAGATGTCTCTTACAGTGTTGGCAAAATAAAGATGCTTCTTTAGCAAAACAGAATAATAGCAAAGCTTTAAACACTGTATCTGCTTGACCTCTCTACTGTGAAAGGGCTTAGAAGATGGCTAATTTCCAAGAGACCCTTAAGCAAAACATAGATGAGTAAGAACCTGAGCAATGAACTACTCTTGAATTGCAAAATTTTATTTCAGGTTTGTCGTTGTTACAGTAGGAGAGAGAAAAGGGCTGTTATGCAGAAGTTCCATGAATACTCACTGCAGTGTTTCATTCATAGTAAACTTTACCATGCATGGGTAAATGATCAGCCTAATTACATCTCTTATATCTACTGTAGGAGTCTCATTATTTCCTTCTGTTCCACCATCTGTCTCTGCCCATCTGTTTTCTCTTATGGTTGGCCTGTAAGTTCTTTGGGGTAGACTTTGTTTTTAATTTCTTTTTACGGCATCTAATTAAGGGGATTCTGGTTTGAAACTAGGAATTGTAAGCAAAATAATAGAAAATGTCTCATAATAGAGCTTGCATATGTAAGAAACTGTGTTAACTATGAGTTATAAGCACTTGAATACCTCAAGACTTCACATTTCATGAAAGTGTAAGGCATTCTCTTAAACCATAATATTTGATATCTGGCTAACCTGTGCATCAATTCCCTTTATTTTTCCTCATGTCAAAAGTGCACAGGTCAATGCATTTGATCTGTAAGTCTTTTCTGAACTTTCTTATATGCAGCATGCTAGTCAGAATGTGTCTCCAATTGGTTGTCAGTGAATTACAATCCCTTTATTATTATTATTTTCTTGGTGCAGATGTAGGTATTCTATTCACTGTCTTTGGATTTCAGCTTGAGTCTCTCTTGTTTTGGGATTATTCACTGCCCTGAAAAATTTTAAAACCATCCAAGCAGCACTCTCATGTCCGTCAAAATAATCTCATTTAAAGAAATGATGATGTGGAATTCCTAGAACAGTGAAACTGAAACGTTCTGAACAAAATACGTGTACAATAAAAATATGAAAATTGATAAAAAATATTGATTTACAACTTTGTTGATGATAGAGGGCAAGGATATGTTTAACATATGTATTAATATTTCATAAAATCAAATTATTGTTGTAGCATATGTTAACTGGGTATTTAGGATTTAAATATGCACTCTGATAGCTCCTTTCTTGTTCATTGTTGTGGACATGTGCTTGCACAAAGTCAAACATTGGTCTAGGAGACATACAAAATTGTTATTAGTGGATTTGATTCCTCTGTGACACCTATCTCTTTGTATGTTTCCTAGTTTTTAAGCCCAATAGCAGCGCCCTTAACTTGTCCAGCTGAAATTTCCCTTTGGATTAGTTTAATGTATTTTCTCTGGGATTTCCTTAATCTTAAATGGACCACAGGAAAAGTTTAAGGCTAGGATTCATAATGGAAATAAGAACTACTAAAGTTTTGAGAGTATGGCAGTCATGAGTTGTAAGTATCTTCAAAGTCTGATGAATTGATAACCAGGCTGTTAGATAGGAAACAAGAAAATGTAGTCTGTGGCAAATTTTGGTTAATTTATCTATTACTAAAAGGTGTGTAAACAAAGTCAAAGTCAACAAAGTCCAGCTTTAGGCTGGATATAGCCGTAGAAATGCTTAAGGCAGCTTCCTTAATAAATGAAGAGTCAAAACAGCAGTCCATGGAGTGACAACATGTGAATATCGAAGAAAATCTTCAAGACACAGCCATCAGCGGGTAAAGAGATGTGCGCTATTTTGGGGAGGATAGGAAAAGGGTGATTCTTCTACATCTCCTGGAACATGGACAAGCCATTAACTCTGACTCCTACGCTGCAGTGCTAACTAAGTTGAGGGCTTGAACTTCCAGAATCAGGCAGAGAAGAGGACAACCTTTTTTTTGCAACATGATAACACCAGGACCTGATAAGTTTTAAGAATATGAAGCGCATTGCCAGTGTTGCCTGGACTGTCCTATTACACCCACTTCATAGTCTAGATTTGGTGCCGTCTGACTTCCATATGATCAGGTTGATGAGAGATAAACAGTATGGGCAACATTTTCCTGGCATTGAGATAATCATAGCAGCTGTGAAACAGTGGGTCACCTCCAGTGGTACAGATTTTTACAAGCACAGCATGCAGGCTGTTGTTTTTTGATGGCAAAAATGAATAGTTAATGCTGGTGCTTGAAGAATTTGCTCTATCAAATAGTGTTATTGTGCTCTTCATAGTTGTAGTTTCCATGGAAATAGATAAGTGGCATTAATTTTGGAGTAACCAACATATATTACATGTCTCAGGCCTTACTGTCTAGTGCTGTTGACATTTAGCAATTATTAATGGTAACCTTCTCATTGCAATAATCTTGCAATTATTGCTATAATTTTGTCAGTTATGTAAAAATTTTTATTATTTCTGTAACACAATAAGTTTCACATAAGCTTTTGCACTTGACTTGATGAAACATACTGAAATATGTCTTGTCATGTCTCTGGGAAATTCTGATATATATTTCTAAATGTACAAACTGGAGGTAGTCCTGCATAAACATAGGATAGACCTTGTCCCCACAGTGGTGTTACTTCCTTTCACAATGCACATTGGAGTACTGATCCCCTGATATTGCAATGTATCTTCCTAATTTATTTTCCTGTGCACCCTTGCTTTCCTTCCAATGGAAACCATTACACACCTGGTGGCTGTTCACACTCAGCTTTTCTTCAATAAGCAGTTAAAATGAGTGAATAATTCAGACAGAAGGGTTTCAGCTCAGATGGATTTCTTGGCACTTTGTATACAGAACTTGAGCTACCTTTCTCTCATTTGCCTTAGAAAACTTCGAGAGACTTGGGTTTTACAAAAATAATATCACTAACGAAGAAACTTTCCTAACCAGCCATTGTTTTAACCAGGAAACATAACACCCGAGCAATCCTGAGAAAAGATGGTTGTAATTGCTGAAGAAGATTGAAAAGAAAAATCTTGCTAGTCTCCTTTAAGATTTCAATAAAAATTTGATTAGAACATGAATAAAAATATGTAGTGTAACGATAATAAAAGTTTGGGCCACAGAAGTGGATTATAGCCAGTAACCAGTTTAGTATTCATCTAAAAGATAAAGAAACCTAAGGATACAGCAAAAGGCCCCATGCAGAGCTGACACCTTGTACTGAAGACAGCTCTATTAGCAGTGGAAAACTTACAGTTCGCTATGTAAGTCTTTTGTCACTGCTGAATATATTATTTTAATATTGAAGACAAAGACACATAATAGTCTGAGGTATTCCCTTTTATTCTCATACAGTTTAATGTGGGTATTTAGAATGCATATGGGAGCTTATATCCTTTTCTAAGACTTTTGTATTTTCATAAGCATGTAAGAATCAGTTTTTAGTCTCACAAAGAATTCATACGTGAAAAAGAAACAGTTAAGTAGTATTTACATTCACTGTGGTGAAATTTTAAATCATTTTGATGAAATGTTATCACTTTTTTTTATTATTCTGAACAGCACTTAAGAGCAAATGAAAAATCATATTTGATACTGCGAGATTTGGAAAGTTGCATATTACATCCTTATCCATTGGACTGTTCCTTTAAGAAAAAGTAGCTGGATAGAAATAACCTGGTTAAAGAAAAGCTTAATGATGCCCTTCTGTGCCTTTGGTATCAGCTGCTGCTGGGGGGGGGGGGGGTTCTGGATCCAGCTGAGGAATATCATGAAGAGGAGGTTCCTGTGGAGAAGGGAATAAACTTAAAGGAAGAGGGAGGAATGCTTACTGGATGTCTGATTTGGATTTTGATCTTTGGTTCAGGGAAGGTGAGCTACGTGAACTGGTGCTGTTCATTTCCAAAACATAAGCAAATTCAAGAATTTTTGTCAGTTGAGGAATAATAGAGTGTTATTTCTGGTAGAAATATTAAGTCCAGTGTATCAGCTATGGTTTGGGGAGCTTTGTGGCTAACATGGGTATTGGCATTTCCAGATTTCTTGGACCTGATTGTGTCTTTTTTCTGATTAGGGAGTTGATGTGACCATCTTGTACTTTTGGGTGTGATCATCAGCTGCAGATGTGAAGGTGTATGACTTATCTTCTAGAAACATCAGGTACTGTTCTTACAGTTTATTGAGGTCTTCTTCTAAATCAGAGACTTTTGAGGCAAATCTAATAGTAATTTAAAAAATGCTGTATCAATTTTGATCTCAATTTTTAATTTTATTTATTTTAGTTTTTCATTATATATGGCTGATTTTGTTTGTTTGTTTTTTGGTTTTTTGGAGGAGTGCAAAAAATGTTTTAAAAATATGATTTCTTTATTACTTTGTCAGATTTCTACACTGACTATGAGGGAGGAAACAGCTGTTTTTCAATTTTAACTGCTTGAGCAATGCTTTTGTATCTTGGCTTGTGCAGGAATAATTATGAAGTTAACATGAAATTGTGGAGGTACTGTTTTTTAAAGGATTCATATAATTTAATTACAACAGCTCCCTTACTATTTCCTTACTACTTTGAGAACTGCAAAGTAGCAAAATAAATTTGGGAGGCACAGTGAGAGTAAAGGATATCATAAATGTATTCCTAGATAAAGGAGATATGTCTAGGAGACATCAGGAAACCTGTTAAATAAATCTGATCTTGTTTGCCACTAAACTGCCACTAAACATTTTTTCTGGACATAAATGTACCTTTTCATGTCAGAATTTACTGAGGGGGAAAAGGAGGCAACCAAAGATGGTGGTGAAAAGTGAAAGGAAAAAGAGGTCTGAATCTAGAATTGCAAAGATGACAAAACTAACTTGAGAACAAATGCAGGAGCGCAGTCTGAATTCATTGCCTTTCATGGTTGCTGGTTGAGCTCAGTGCTAGAAGAACACAAAGCAACATGGAATTGGCACATTCTTTTCAGTGAAAAAGTGAGATAAATTTAACTGTTAGTGAGTAGGGTTGGAAGAAGTAAAGAGATGGGTATGTTTCACGTTCTAGATGCCTTTAAAAGCAAAGCAGAAGGCATACTCTCAGAACCTATCAAGAGCATGCAATTCAGATGTACTTAAATATTAAACATTTTGTGTATATCATGCAATATCTGATAAAAAGTGCTTGCTGCAAAATGAGATTTTAGACTTATTTCTTTTGCCAGCTGTTACTCTGATGGAACACTTGCTGATGATTCCTCTACCTATTTTCTAAACAAATTTCTAGGTTTGTTCTTTGGTTCATGTTTTAAACATGTCTATAGAAGGAAATTATAACCAATTTATCTGAAAATTTAGTTTATATCGATCTACAATGTTACACTACAAATCAATTAAATTATACTGTTGTGTATTTGTATTGCTTCAATAAATACTTCACTTTGCAGTGTATCTTGGCCACTAATTAACTCATCTGCTGCTGATGTCACACATTAGTCTCAAAACAGTGTATTATACAGCTGAAGTTTAACAATGCCTATGTTTATGAACCATAAGTATACAGTTTTAGGGTAACTTTTCTATAATGGATGAACATAATTCTCATTTTTATAGATTGAATTTATAGTTTTAAAGAAGAGATTAGGTAGATTGTTGAGATAAAAAATGACTGTAGAACTTGTGGATGGCTATTACTGTTGAAAAAGCATCCAGTCATTCAACACACTTAACATCATGTAACTGCCAAAATCAAGCTTAAGAGCCTGTGATCCTGAGCCAGCTGCTAAAGGACTTGGACCTTTGAGACTGCAGTTAGAGATTCAGGAGCTCTTCAGAATGTGCTCAGTCGTTATCTACAATTACTTGAAAACTGTAAGATCTCTAACAGTCAAAGGAAATTGCACCAAAGCGTTTGCATTACCAAATCCCTTGAGGAAGGCAATGTTAAAGAGAAAGGAAGGCTGCAGTACGGCTTAACAGTGGCTCGGGAGAAGAGCTTCCAATAAATCTTTCTTTGCCTTTCCACTTTAAAAGTATTTTTGAAGTAATTATGTTCTGTTGGAACAGCAAAAAAAGCAGGCATATTCTGTGGAAATTGCTTACTGCTCTGTTTATACCTATCTTTCTTCAATATTTGGCATTGTCTTCTACTTTAGCCTTGCTGAATGTGCTAACTTCTCTCACTCTAAGCCTGCAAGCTCTGTCATAGAACAATTCCTCTGTAGTTGCATGCTCCAAATTTAATTACTTGAATTATGCTCCCGGGGCCACAGCAGTTCAAGCATGTTTGAAAGAAGTGCTGTAACCTTGACACAAAAGGTTTGGTTTTGTTTATTTTTTTCATAAAACATTTTGGAAAATTAAATTCAGTGTAGTTTCTCATGTACAACTTCTGGAAGGGAAACTTAACTTTTTTTTTAATCTTGATTCTTCTAGGAAATGTAGTACATATAACTGATTGGTCATTTATTGTGACCTTTCTCCTGTTAGGCAAGAACTGAAAACTGAGACTCAGTGGATAAAGGTCCCTGGGACAATTGAGAACCAACTTGACAGACGGTCAAAATAAATCTTCGTGCAGGAGCACAGAGCTGTTCCAAGTAGCCTTCTATGGACATTGCCTTCATCCTATTTTTTGATAGGGCAGTTTCCACAGTTACCAGCTCTTCTGTTTGAGGTTTCTGTGCTGTCTCCTATCTGTATTACTGAACATAGCTCTTCCATTAGTTAAATGCTACAATCCCTGTCATGGAGAATATCACAAAGAATAAGAATTTGGCAAAGGTTTTATTTGAGCTATTATTATCTGTGGTTATTCTGTACAGAAGGTGCTTGTTTATTGTGATGTCTTATTGTCTGGGGACTGTGAAATAAAATCAGTATAAAAGTTTTGACCACTAGTAATGACTTCAGTTACATCAGAATGCCTAGGCTGAATTAGTAAAATGTTGGTTGGTTGTTTTTTTGTTTTTTTGTTTTTTTTTTTTTTTTGCAGGTCTCCAAGAAGCCAGAGTATACACACAGTCAGTCATGCATTGAGCACTCATCCTCAAGATTAGGTTCTGTATTAAACATCATCTTGTTTAGTGATTACCTTAGCCCAGGAAATTGAAGTTTGTGGTTTGCACAAAAGAAAGTATGCATGCTTTTATACTGTAGGAATTTCCAGGTAAGGTTAAAATATAAAAAGCGGGAGGCTTTTTATGAGATAAGCATTCAAAATGTAGAAAGATGAATATAAAGATGAATATGTTTGATGGTGTATGTGTGGGACCTATAACAAAAAAATATCTGAAAGTTACTCTTATGTGTCATAAATGGAGTTTTCACATAAACAATATTTTTAAATGGGTATTTTTCATATTAAAAATGATTAAACTAGTGTTTTCAGCTTGTGGTTGCAAGGGCCCTATGGTGAGGAGAAGGAGGAGGGAAAGACTCTCACTCAAATTAAGACCTCATCTCTGTCACATTAGCTGTCAGCAGCTGAATTTTCTCACGATACAAGGAAGTGTGTCCTTCTGTTGTTTTAAACTGGTACATATGTCTGCCTGCTTATTAGAAGGAATTTCATGCTGAGAATACATGGTGTGGATGCTCATAAAATTCACTGGCTTACTGGACAGGATAAAGGTGTTAACTTTAACCTACTGGACGTATTGAATACTTTGCCACTAAAATCTTAAACAGCAGAGATAAGCTGTAATTCTAAGATGATAAATCTGCTGATTTCTATCATAAGCTCACCGATGCTCTTTCTATATTATCCTATAGGATACCAATTTGGATATTTAAGTTCTAAATAGTGTGAATGTAAGATTAAGTTCTCAGAACCTGTAAAAAGCAAAGCTTTATGTGTAAAGGGCATTATTTTGTGCTGAACTGTCTCAAAGGAGAGTACAAAGCAAATCTGTTCCACTCTGTATTTTACAAGAGAATTGATCATCTGCAGGTGACTGAAACTACACTTAATTTGTCAGATCCTAGGTAAACAATTTCTTTTGCCTGTAGTCTTGATTTAGTTTGTTGTGGAATTGTGCGTGTGGTGTCTTTAATTTCTTCTATTATTGATATCTACTTTACCCTTAAGCTCTTCAAAAAAAATGGCCAAAATATCAAAGGCATACTGACAAGAATTGATTATGAACTATAGGGCAAAGAATGCTTTTCCCACATCCAAGAACTGTGGACTAAGAAATATATAATTTATGCACCAAATAACACTAACTGGGTTTTTTTTTTTTTTTTTTAAATGCATAAGTAGGTATGCTAATAATGTAAAAGAAAAGGCCATCTTTTGTGTATGTGATGAAGAAATAGAGGTGATGTCTGAAAATATTAATCAAGCCTAAAAGTTAAGTTTTTTAGAAAGTGCCTGCTGCTTTTGTCACAAATTCTTGATATTAATGTCCCAGCAACTATGTTTGCAGACATAGTACAATATCATACAATATAGCATATTACAACTGGAGACACTACTTCAAATGTGTATTCCTTTGTTTGTGAAGCACCTCTGAGCATAGGTTCTAAAAATTCTAAAGTTCTGTAATTTTTTGGGTAAAGTAACATACCTGTCACAGAATTTCTAGCAAGCAATCTGTGCCAATTCCTAGCCCTCACTAAGATATACTTATTCTTTAAAGAGTAACTTTGTAAGCTATTTTGTTGTTTTCTCCTTGTGTAAGTAGTAATATATTCCTCCATGCCCGTATTCTGAGATAAACTGTTCAAGTTAAAAAGTGGGATCAACCAATAAGTTGAAATAAAGCAAATCTGACTTCTTCATCTTTGCTGCCAAAAATCTTTCACTGGAAAGATTAGTTTATTTTCTAAAGTTGTAGTTTTGCCACCTCCACCAACTTCTCTTTCCTAGCCCTTGCTCCTGGGACCTAGTAGCATTAATAATTGCTAAAGTGCAGAAACATTACACTTAAATGTCACTAATCTCAATTAAGAAAAAAATGTATTATGGTTCAAGCAATGTTTAAGTTGGTAGAAAATTATACAGAAAACTCTTTGGCCCTTTAAGTTACTGCTTTGATGTTAGCTTAATGTCTACTTTCTGGCAAGAATAATACAGAGATTTTTATGAACATTTCACTTTACTGTGATTGCTGCTAGGGACTGTCATTCTACAGAAGGTGAATTGTATGTGTGGCTACAGACTGATAAAATTACTTCCATTCATTAAATTACAAATCTCTCAGAATAAATAACACTAATATTTTCCAGCATCTACAATTTAAACTATGCTTAGTCTTTACTGGTCCAATTGAGAACTTTAGACTGTTAATTTCTTCTGGGAGCGATAGTCGTGTGTAACAGCATAACATAGGAAAGGTAAGGCTGTGTAACCCTTTAATATACAACTGATCATTTCCCTGGAAGGAAACAAAGAGGTAAGGGAGTATTGTATCTGACAAAAAATACTGAAGCAAAAGAATAGGAAAAACAAATACTGTTTATGTTAAATTTGGTTTAGTAAAGTACTTGGTGCACAGAACTATGCAAAACATTCAAAGCACATTAATTCTGGAGAGTTCACAAAGATGAACCTTAGAATTCTGAATCAGTAGGCAAAGACAGCACCTGGCTTACCAATTTAAGGTAGAGAAACCTTGAATACTGTTAAATAGGGCATGACTTCAGTTAGCACCTCAGGTTTCAAGAATTGTAATGGATGCTATTTTTGTATTCCAAAGATTTTAAAATGACCTCTCACTTATTTAAGTAATTTAATGTGTATTGAAACATTCAGAAGAGTCCACTAATGTGGTAAATACTACTTTTTTTTTCTCCTGTTAAAGATGATTGTGAGTTGGCCCCAAACAACAAAATGATTTTTTTTTTTTTTTTTTTTTATTATTTTTTTTTTTTCTGTCAGGGATATAAGGAGAAAAAGGACTGATATACAAAAGACAATTATCCTCTAAACTTGAGAGTCTATAAGTTTGGTAACAATTGCACCTTCAACTCAAGCTGTATAAGCTGGACAAGAATTTTAAGGCAAAATTTTAAGAACTGATTATTTTAATAATTTTAAAGAGTATTACTTTTGTTTCTTGAGGTTGCACGCATTGCAGGTAAGAACTATGGAACCTAATTTTTGGCTTTGCCTATGAACATAATCTTCAGAAATCATGTTAACTCTTCAGTAATTTTAATGTTTCAGTAATTTTTGATAGCACAGGTTGGATGGGTTGCATGAAATTGCTTTTCTGTGTTTTCAAGAAGTTAAAGACCAGGCAAACTCCTGAAATGCCAATTTCACGTTTTCTGCTACAAATTCTGGTATGCTGGCAACCACACCATTGTTACACAATTTGAATTATTTGTGCTCTAATATGAGGATGATGTGCTTTTAAGAATCCTTTTGTGTCATCTTTGAGAAGCAGTATGACAATGTAAATTATTGTAATAAAGGCCAAATCTTTCACTGAGATGATGGAGAATGTTGAGATAACAGTGAAGACAGTTTACTTCATCCTGAGAAAAATGGAAAGTGCGAAGGAATTATGATTCATAGAGCGACGACATTCAATTCTTTAGAAATACAGTAGCTCAATTCATCATTCAGCATGCAGTTATTGTAAAATTCAATCTGGCAAATTCTGAATGGATTTATGTTAAAATACAGTGTTTAAAATTCCACTTTACAGCTTTATGTTGCATAGGGTAAAGATAATCAAGAATATTACTGATATTCTTGAAGATGAGCCTGGAAGTTTTTGAAAGTACCTTGCCACAGAGAATAGAACAATGGGAAGATCTTCAGAAGATCATCATTCCAATTGCCTGACTACTTGAGGGCTAACAGTGTTGAAGCATGATGTCATTGTTCAAATGTGATCTGACAGATCTGAGGTATCAGCCTCAGATCTTCAAAGCCTCTCTTCAAGGCCTCTTCTGCTGTTTGACTATTGTACTACTGTACCACTACTGTTGTGGTACGGGGTTTTTGGTTTTGGTTTCTTTTTTTGTGATTCCCATGTATTCTATTGTTAGTTAACAAAAAGAACAAACCAGCACTTCTTTCTCCACTTCCCCCCTTCAAGAAGTTACAGAACAATGAAGTCGCCTTTCAATCTCATCTCCAGACAGAGCAACCCAAAGTGTTACTAGCTTTGTTACTCTCATCTGGAGGCTGTAAAAAAGAAGCTGGAGGCTTCTTTTTGTGTTGTGGTGCACAGAATACTTAAGGTGAGGCTACATTACTGGTAAATATAGCAGGAGAATCACTTTTTTTTTTTTTTTGTCAACTATATGTGTTATGTTTAATGCATCTCAAATGTAATTTGTCCTCTTGGCTATCAAGGCGCAATGCAGAATCTGATTTCACCAGCACCCTCAGGTGCTTTCCTGCTGAGCTGTTCTCCAGCCTCTTGTCTCCCTATCTGTACCTTTGGTATTACTCCTTCCCGATTGTAAAATCTAGCATTTATCTTTGTTGAACTTCATGAAACTGATGACTGCCCAGTGCTTCAATGTACCAGGATCCCTCTGTGAGGTATCTTGTCCTTTCAGAGTGTCAACAGTACTTCCCTGTTTAGTATCGCAGCCTGGTCTACTGGTCGGTGACCCTGCCTGTGGCAGGGGGTTGAAACTAAATGATCATTCTGGTCCTTTTCAACCCAGGCTATTCTGTGATCAACAGCAAACTTGCTGAGGATGTATTCCATTCCTGGATCTAGTTCACTTATAAAAATGTTGGACAGAACTGGCTCTAGAGTTGAACCCTTGGGAATATTGATAATGGTCAGTCATCAGCCAGATGTAATCTCATTTACTGCAGTGCTTTGAGCTCTATTTTTGAGCTGGTTTATCACC